CCCCAAAACCCCAAAACCCCAAAACCCCAAAACCCCGGGATTTTTGGTTTAAATTGAATTTTTAAATTTCCAATTAGAAATAATCAAAAGCCTTCACCTGCATTTTCTCGTCTTCAGATTTTTCAGCAAAATGCATTATGATAATCAGCAGAATTAGTACCAGTAAAAATAAAGCAATAACTACTACCAAGATATTCATAGCTTTGATTGGCCAGACAAGTAATTCAACTTCCCAATCTGCTGGGTTTTGACTCATCTGAGTTGATACAATAAGCTGTGTGTTTGGAATTATGGGAGTCCATGTCCTTACAACTTTCTTTCCGTAGACAACAGCTCCAACTGTAAAGGCTTCTATATAGTTGTTAGATCTACCAATTCCAAAATATGAGTATGAGACTCCTAAATTTGCATAAGAATCTTGGCTCCTCTGTGTTCCCACAAGAATATATTTTTCATCCCCAAGCTGTGTAAAAGATGCTCTTATAGTTGCACCTGAGAGAACAATGTCATTTTTCGCCTCTAAATGCCTGACTACTTTGGTTTTGAGATAGAAGGAGTCTTGATCATAGTTAGTCATGAGAGGGACTAATTTATCCTTTCTTTCATTAACATCGTGCACTGAGAGGATAACATCCAGATTTCCATTTTCTTCTATATCAAAGAAGAATGCATAATTAACATCATTGTGCTTTTTGAGGTCTTCGTTATATTTTTCTTGATTGTACTCAAAAACTCTATCATTTTTATTTCATTTTTGTGTACTTGGATTTTTACATTCTGTGTTAGTTAGGACAGCTGCAAAAGCATTATGTCCAGAAAGTTCAAAGGTTGCTATTAAATCTGGATATCCATCAGAATCAATATCTCCAAATCTAAGTCGAGGAGGAAACATTTCTGTATGTCCATGCAATTGCTTATAATATGGAATTTTAGAGATTCTATTGATCATTACATTTTCGTTTGATTTCATAGTTTTTGATCCATCTAATCCAGGAAATATTTCATGATCTTCTTGTATATGACTGAAAGAGTGTCATAAATTATCTGAGTTGCTACTTCTTGGTTTTAAACCATTTAAAAATAAATAAATGCTCTTCTTTTTGGAAGAAAACCCAAGGACATCAATCATTCCTTCTCTGTCAAAATCAGCAAACAATAAGGTTGGATCCATATCATCAGGAAGAAGAGCTTTCTTGACAAGGCAATACCTTGTTGAAAAGTTTACATTGTTTTGGGCAAATTCATAATGCTCCAAAATACTGATATATACTTCTAAATATAAATTTCCCGAAGAATCTTTGGTGGTCATGAGCAGATCAGCAACACAATCTCCATCTACGTCTACATAGCCTATTGATCCTGGAGACGCGAGCTGTCTGGAAGGGTCTACTCTAAGTCATTTTCCATGTTCCCCTTTCTGCCTAATGTATTTATCAAACTCTTCAATAACAATACTGTCACTCTGAGCAGTATTGAATGCAATCTTTATGCCATCGTTACTTTGGAACAATATGTCTGGGTAAAAGTCTCCATTGAAGTCAGCAATAAAGGGTTGGTTTCCTCTTTTGATTTGGGTTCTTTTACTTTTTACCTCCTCAAAGTCTACTGGATCTATATTTATTGATAAAATTCTACTAATAAAACAAGGGTAAATATTACCATTTCCAACACTTTTAAACACTTTCAAGATCGATTCAGGTTTAGAACAGGTTAACAATAGTCCACCATTATGAGGCATGGTTTGTATATTTGCTATGATTCATTCTGCCGGAAACTCTTTCTCAGTATAAATAAATTGCATAGATTTACTGTCATAAAGAAAAATTTTAAAAGCACTTCTTTCTGAATTCACAGCAATGAGATCAGTGAATTTGTCTCCATCAAGATCTCCAACAGCTGCAACAAGCATGGAGCCTGTAATATTTCCGTAGAATAAATCTAGCTCTACCATTCCTTGGCTATCTTTTTCCCAGAATATCTTTTTGTTGAACTCATCAATTGTGACTTTCTCTTCTGCTTCTGCATTTCAAATTGACAAGCAAAATGCAATCAAGATGCATAAAACCATACATAATCTACTATATTTTTGAATTTTAGTGAAGAAGTCGATAAAGGATTCAAATAGAAATTGCAGAATGAGGTCTTAACTCAAAGAAATTACACAGGATTCATATTTGAAATTCTGAAAGTAGTTATTTCAAAAACTATAAGCATTTGTGGGGTTTTGGGGTTTTGGGGTTTTGGGGTTTTGGGG